GAGGTTTTGAGCTGATCTTTTTAACACAGGGGCATAAATCCAATTTTATAGGTTGTAAACAGGTAGGGAAGGAGCCAAGCAGAGTTTGTTCTACAGTTTACCCAATGGAAGCTGTTGATTCATCACTTTTTTAGGAATATCACTATGCCTGTCAACTTGTTACCCTGCTATGAAGAATTCAAACTAAGAGCAGAAAACATATGCAACAGATATGGCAGATAGGTTAAGGGAGGTGATTCTACCCTTCTACTTCACTCTTATGAGACCACACTGGCAGTACTGCATCCTGCTCTGGGGCCCCAAGCCTGAGAGTGACAATGACCTGTTACAACAAGTGCAGAGGAGGGCCACAAAAATGATCAGGGGGCTGGAGCACCTCCCCTGCGAGGACAGGAGAGTTGGGGTTGTTTAGCCTAGAGAGGGCTCTGGGGAAACCTTACAGCAGCATTATAGTACTTAGAAGAGTTCTGCAGGAAAGCTGGGAAGTGCCGCTTAATCAGGGATTGCAGTGGATAAGGGGTAGTGTTTTTAAACTGAAAAAGGGTAGATTTAGATTGGTTATCAGGAAGAAATTCTTCACTGTAAGTGCAGTAAGATACTGGGACAGGTTGTCCATAGAAGCTGTGAATGCCCCATTTCTGGAAATGTTCAAGGCCAGGATGGATAGGGCCTTGAGAAACCTGGTCAAGTGGAAAGTATCCCTTCCCATGGCAGGGCGTTGGAAATAGGTGATCTTTAAGGTCCCTTCCAACCCAAACTGTTCTGTGATTCTTTGGTCATTTTCCTTTGCATTCACTTGGACAGGTAACAAGCAGTTCCAGCAAAGTCCTGTTGGCTGTCCAAAACATTTAGAATTCAGATCAAAGAAGTAGAGAAGGGATGTTTGGAAAGAGCGTCTGTTTGAGCAAAGAGGCAAAGGTGTGGCTTTTATGAGGGTGAATGGCAAGGGCGGTGTTGTTACCTGGGGCCAGCCAGTGGCAGAGTCTATAGTAACAATCAGTCCAGACTCTCTTCTGTCTAACAGGAAGGAAATCATTGTTCAGTGTTAAAATGTGGTTCAGATAAGAGGTTGCAAAGACATCATTTAGCTAGACTTTTATGAAGCAGCAACTATTGCTCATGACGAAAGGTGACATACATGTGTTTTTAGCATAATTGCAATGCATGTATTAATAAGTTACAGAAACAGATAGCATGCAGTACCCAGAGTTTATATTTTTATCTATGATCCTCATATATTATTATGGAATGTGTGAACAAGTTTTGTTAAGATACAAAAGAGAGCACGAAAATGGGTTTTAATACCTTTTCCCAAAACCAAAATTGCGCTTGCTATTCATCTTGACCCTTCCATGCTGGACTTATGAGTATGTCTATCTGTGCTGTACATCAAGTGCTGTATGTGAAAAGATGCATCCTTCCTGGCAGCTATCACACAGATACTACATGCTATGTGGAGACAAGGGCCAAGAAGTGTAAGTTGCAGAGACCTTAGAACTTGTAGAAGTCTCCAGAAAATACACTGCAGCTTCCTAGATGTATTTCGCCATTGAATGTACTTTTGAGTATAGTAGCAGGGCCAAGAGGGAGTTGACCTGTGCTGGAAAAGACTGCTGTCAAGGCTTTTTGAGATGGAAGTACAGGAAAGTCTGGTCTATTTCTAACAGGATTTTTATAGGATTTATATTCTTAACCCCAGGAATCTGTGCGCTGCTTTATCTTTCTGATGAGTCTCCCTCAGTTTTGGATCATGTGTTCCACAGACAGCTTTTCTTCTGAGTTAAACCTCCTAAGTATTTAATCTTGAGACAAGATTGTTAGTTCAGTTTCAGTAAGGCTCAGTGCAGAATTGTCTTGTTGAATGATATTTCATTATCTGTAACAATAATAACTGAGAGAGGAAACCACTGTGGGGACTAGAATTTGGTGAAATTATCTCTGCAGCTGACCAAAGTATGACAAAAGACAGTGTTTTAAATGACATAATAAAAGTTGCTTGTGCCTTTTTTCCTCCAAGTGAAGGAAGAAACACTGTGGTGTGACTGAGGACTTACCCTCCATCCTCTTTGAAAAACTGGTGAGATATAAGAACCACTTACTTGCTACACCAACTGCGGGAATCTTCTCTGGCCATTTCACACTCCTGAACTCTAGAGAAGAGTTGCCATTTTGTGACCACAAAACTGCAGTTACAACATGAAAATACAGTAGTTTTTGGTTCTGTAAGAAAATAAAGTTATGGTAGCAATGAATCCAGCAGGTGGGAAAACAACACCCTCCTTTATGAAAAGTAGAAGAAAATATATTTATTCTGAATCAATGAGCTTGAGCATTTAGTCAGGTTTTAAGAGAAATGGTAAGGTAAGACCAGGTGCTATTTCTCTTTTATAATTTTTTTGAAGATGGGTTTTTTGCAAATAGCTAGTCCACTCCCCCATGATAGGTAGATAGATGGATAAAAAGAAAATCATTGAGGAAAATATGTTCTGCCACAGTAACATATAATTACATGACAAAAAATATATCAGTCTGTGCTGCAGGCAAGACATGTCTCATTAGTGTGTGGTGGACTTGATCACAAATAACATGTTTCAAAACTGTGAACTCCTTCTAATCCTTTTTCTATATACCCACAGTCATGTTCGAAATTAGCAGATCTCTGGAAATAGACTTCATCTGGCCAGCCCTGTTTCTAATAATTTGCTTGTGTAATTAAAGGAACATGTCCTTCTACAGCTGCACTTTCAGGGACTAAAAGCAGACAGCCTGTTTTCAGTAAGAGAACAACCATTTTTAACCAATTTAATGATACCAAATTGTCCTCTGTGTGGTGAATTATGATAACTGGCTTATAGTGCACTTTTCAAAGATCAGTTCTGGCCATACTAGGTACTCCTGAGATGCATGGGCCAGAAATCCAATCCAAGAGATCCCATTTAAGAACCAATATTTTCCTCCACTGCTTGAAACTGAATGCAACAAAACCATTAACAAAAGCAGGTTCACTTAGGGCTGTGGATCTGTGCCTTCGTGTTGATACACTGCAAAACATGCATGAAAAAATGAGCAATCTGCAGATGAGGGTGCAATCTCATTTTTTTCAGCAGTATTGCTGAAATACATGCAAGCTTCCATTGTTAACTCCCTCTCTGAGTTCCCAGCTGTTAGGGCAGTAGAGAGGAAACAGAGTTTCTTTCATGATATCTACAGAATTTTTGAGATACAATTGTTTTTAATCCTATTATTTTTAGTAGAGTCAATGCATATTGATTGATTTCTTATTGTTTCTATTTTCTTGAAAGACCAGTGTATGAATTTTGACATGCCATATACTCAGTGACAGACAATAATAAAGCATACTACTTTGACCTTTTCAGTTGCCTGAACTTTAATTTACTGGCTATTCTCATTCCCTATTTTTTATGTCCCCTCAGTATAACTGGCAAGGAGAAAATAGACTGGTCAGCTAGTTCAGATGCAGATTACTTAAAAGGATAAAGACTGGCTTTACCATTCTATTAAGACTTTATGGTGTTTTGTGTGTGTTATAGGTCATTAAAGTGGTGATAACCTGTTCTTAGCTATGGAAACACATTTGTAGCTGTTTATGGACCAGCATCCAGTCACAGCAGTGTGGGTAAAAATCTGGATTAAGTTTTGTGGGAATTAATAGATTTTCTCTGAGTTTTGTGAATGAGTCTGTGATTTGTTTAAAAGTGGCTGCTTGCCTGACCACTGCTCTGACTCCAAACTGCTGGAAACTACTGGAAATTTGGGAAAAATATTCCCATCACTGCTTTCCCCCCTACCAGTTCGATTCACAAGAGCTAACCCTGCTGAAGGCTGTGGCAGATTTCCTCCACCACATGGTCATGAAGACAGTGACTTGTCTGACTAATGCAGAGAGGTGAAAAGGGGTAACAGCTGCCTGAGATCTTTCTCTATGCACTTGAGAAATACAGGCCACAGTCAAAACTGCATCTTGAGACACTCACTGTGTTTGGTTGTTATCAGCACACCACAAAAGATTCTGATCATCCTTCAGTTTGGTGAAAGCCTAGAGGAAATTTTCACAGTGAGAATGGTAAAATGAGGACAAAATGTTCCATTAAAAGACTTGTTTGTGTAGGGATGTCTGAGAGTGGGAAATAGTGACAGCGTAGCCTAGATTTTTGAGACAGAGCTTTGTGCGTAATAGGAAAGTTTCAGTTTTCTGGTGGCTCTGAAAAGTTCTCGGTGGGAATCTATACATTAAAAAGAACAGGAGTGATGAAAAGGTAAAAAAAAAAAAAAGACAACAGCTTTCATCATTTTACTTTTCATTTGTTTTTCATCTAATCATTTTGATTTCAGGCTTGCTGGTTTTTAATTTTTATGTCTTTTTAGGGTTGCAGTAAAAAATACAACTAGGAGAATGAAGAAGGATAGCCAAAGCTTGATTACGTTCTGTTGCTCATTGCATAGTTTTGCAGACTGTTTGTTTGTTTGTTTTATTTTTGATTGGTTGTTTGGTTTGTTTTTTATTTATTGTTTATTTGCAGATTGTTAATGCGGAAGGGACTGGGATGGTTTTTTGAAACTGACCAGCATGCATTAAATTTTACCCACCAAATCCTGGTCCAAGCCTAACCACCTGTGGCTGAACTAACTCAAAGTTCTTAAAGTAATATTCAGTCTTGATTTTGAACATTTAAGGATTTATAAAGATCTATAAATCTTTAAAATTTAGGGAGATAGAGACTGCCATCCTCCAGATGTTCTCAGAGAACATCCCCCAAGACCTGTGGCTAATTTTCTGCTAGTTAGAAACTCAGATTAAAGAAAAAGCAAATGGAAACACTGCTCTCTCTTTTTTGTTATTCTGAGTTCAATTTACAGCCTGTAGAGGTAGGAACGATGTTTCTGATAGGCTGAAGAATTTTAGAAGCACTGGAAACGCTCTTTCTACTTGGATAAATTAAGGCAGTGGTGAACTACTAACCTTTCACCTTTGTTTGTAGAAAACAAAGAAGAAACCAAGAGGAAATCCTACCTCATGAATCCATAGAGCCTAGAATTGCTTGACCGTGCTCCCAGAGTGGTATGGCTCAGGCATCACTGTCTGGTGGGTGCTCACTGCAGACATCACTCAGCTCCGAGAAAATCAATGGGATTCGCTGTGGACTAAAGCGTTACCGTTACAAGCAAGGTAAAAAATGTCAGAAAGAATGGATGCAGTTATTTGGTGGAGCTGGCTGAAAATTTCCTATCCTAGTGCTTTTCTGCTGAAAACTGTTTTTCATGAAAACCTTTGTTTTCCTCAAGCCAAAGTTGTCGTGCAGAATTTGAATGTGTTGTTTTCATTTGCGCTTTGAAACATTTTGATTTTGTTTGGGGCAAGGCAAAATGAAGGACTGAGTTGAAAGTCAAAGCTCAGCAAAAAAATTGAATAAGTTCAAGCACAAGGCATATTTCTACAGAAAGAGATAAATCTGACTTGCAGTTATGTTTAACTTTTTTATGAACCAGTTCTAACTTCCTTAAAATATATCAGCATTATGTGGGTATTCTCTGAAAAACTGGGCCAAATAAAATTAAAGAGAATTCAGACTGAGTTGTTTTTGAAATTTCTGATGCTATAGAAAGAGGGAGCTCAGACTATGGTTTTACAGGTATAGGCATTTGTCTGAGTTTTCTCCAGCAACAAATTAGCTCAATGATTTTGCAGTCGTGGGATCAAATTCCTAGCTGATATGAATCAAAGCACCTCTACTACTAATAACCAAATTTATGTCTGGAATAAAAAGACACAGCTCTCTTCATGAAGTCAGGTGGACCACATCTGCAGGGGTGTAAACTTCAATTCATGAAGTTACTGGATGCAGATCAGTGGCAGATTTGACCTATTTGAGGTTTTATTGAACAGTCTGAACCATTGTTGAGTTCTCAGTACAGAGTTCAGCAACTGAGAAGCTTTGAGCAGGGTGGCTTGGTCAGGCATTTCTAAAATTAGTCCTTGGAGGTGTTTGCTCTTTTAATGTTGTTCTGTGTAGAAGAGCTGAAAAGGGAAGAGATTGGAAGTGCTTGCTGATTATGCAAATTATAGTCTAAAGTAGTATAAGGATACAGAAAATTACCTGAAATCTGTACATTCTCTGCTGGCAATTTTTAATTTTCTATTCTATCCAATTTTTTTTCTTGTGGATAACTTTTAATGTTGCACCAAGAGATCCCCAGAAAATGTCATGTGTATGGGATGGAGGGAGAGAAAGTCAAAAGTCTGACTTCATGCCCTGACTTACAGAAATAGCTCAGAAGGGGAAACCACTATGGTTTCTGCTTTGTGCCCAAGCAGCTGCCCTCTGTGCCTCACAGGGGATTTTTCAGAGTGTAGACATATATCCCTTCATAACTGGTCTGAGGCTTTGCATCCATAAATTTTTTTGTAGCCAGAAATCCTTAATGAAGATCAAAGAAATGTTGGGAGTGGAGAAATTAGTTTCCCATCCCAGTTTCTGACTCCCTCATTCTCCTATTTAAAAAGAACTTCATAATTCTTACTGGCATAACAAGTACAGAGAGCCTCTCTTAAAAGATTTCTTAACAGATAGTGCTGTAGCACCTGACTGGGCATTCTTGCATTCCCTTTTCACCTCTAATAGGACTGATATGCCAGATACATTTAAGACAGAGTTTTAATTCTCTGCTGAGTTCTTCCACCTTCCCCTGAATACACAAATACTTGTGTATTTCAGGCATTAGTGACTCACTGCTGCCACTGAGGAAATAGGATAAGGTTGTATATAGTTTTCTTTCTTCCTGTAGCAAATAAAAGAAGATGCCATTGTAGCAGCAAGAGGTAGTCATGGAATGTCAGCAAGATTTTATTGGAGTCCTTCCACCCTCCCCTGTCAGAGAGGTATGGTTTTCTATCTGTCAGAAACCGAGCAGAAAAACTGATGTTCAGAAAGCCCAGTGAGAGCCTAAAGGACTGATGTTGGCTGTTTTCTTTTGCCTGAGCTCGTATTACTGACCACACAGTTGAGCTGTGGTGTGTTTAGAAAGCTCACATTTCACTTTCCATCACATTGGTGCAATTTAATTTATAAATTTAATTTTCTCCCCCATTTGAATGAGGTTTTTCAGCCCTTCCATTCTAGTACCAAGCTAAAAATTATAGCTTTGTGATCTGTACTCTAAAGCATTAATTTCAATATTTACCTTTTATAGATTGTCTTGATGAAGCAATGCAAGGAAATATAACATGTGAAGATCCCGTGTCAGAAGAAGTCTTCCATTTTTATTGGCAGAGCTTAGAGAAGGTAAGTTTTCTGGGAAATATAGTGAGATGATTGTCTGTTGGTGGTATCCTTTTGCAGTTCTCATCCTGTGATGGTCATAGAAAAAAAAATCAAAAAAAAACCCAACCCCAAAATCAAACCAGAAATAAGTCAAATGGGAGATAGTAAAGTTTGTAGAATTGTAAGGGCTCTTTTCTTGACTGTTATGATGGTCTTTCTACTATGCCCATTAAATGTCCTGCAAGTCTATCCCAAATCACTCCTGTACAATATCTTTGTGAACAAAAAGGTTTTAAAAAACCCACTATGAGGACACCAATTCTTCCAAAGTTATTCCTGCTTTTCTGACTTCTGTTATGAGTAGGTGAGTTCATTTAGGTACATTTCTGGAAAGACTTGAGCTTACCTCTATTTGCAGAATGATGGTGTATTCCATGCCCTGTATTGTGGCTCTCAAACTGCGCTGTGCATTTTCTGTGATCACAGGCTCTTTTCCTCTGAATTTCTTGGAAAATTTCTTTGGAGGTAGTTACTTGCTAAGATATACCAGTGCTGCTGAGTTTCAGTTTGGTGCATTCTTTTAATGTGCCAGATAACTTGGACCTAAGAATAAAAGCACATATTCACTTCATGGTGTAGTTTTTCTAATGGGAGCAAAATTAAGGATATTCTTAATGAAAGGTCTGCTTGGCTGCTTCTACCTCTTCTTTGGTTAAACTGAAATCTCTACTGATAAAATTGCAGCTTTGTCACCCACAATGACTACTGCTAAAATGAAATTGTGTTGCTACTTTTGCAGTGTAATATGTTTTTTTACCTTCCTAATTGCATGGCTACATAAACTGGGATTATAAGAAAAAATGCTAACTATCAAGACTTACAATAAAATTAGAAGTGTTGGTCAACTACATAATGCATGTTGCTTTTCAATAACCTCTTGCTGTAAAGTCACTGAGGCAGATAAGTAGGGTGATGACATAAAGTATATGTTCTGCAATATTAATATAGTTTGCAATGAATCTTTTCAGATTCATGAGAAGTTTTTTAGTGTAAATCCAGAATAAAATTATTTTGCCAGCAAAGTTCAAAAAATAATAATAAAGAATTACTTCTTCCCAGTCAGCTGACATCAGTAGGTGGGTATGCCTCACCTAGAATGCTATATGATATTCCAAATTTATTGTGACTGTAAACAACAACTCTGCTTGCTTTATGGCTTTCCTGGGCTCCAACAGTAAAACACAATATCTCTATTTGGTTGAAATTATATGTTATAACAGTTTTATGGGGGGGGGGGAAAGCTTTGATAAAGATAAAATAGAGTTTTGCCTTTTCGCGTGACCTTGTCATTTGAAAAAACATTGCACTCTAACGAGATATAATTTAAAAGACCTCTGGGAGCAAATTGAGTTTACTGAGATATTTCTAAGAGTAATTACTTACTGTGAGTTGTCAGTGCACTCTGTTACAGTTCCTTCCCTAGCAAATGTAGATATCTAGGACTGTGTAGAATGGATTAAAGTTCCTACCATTATTGTTTGATGGGAGACAGTAGTGAAAAAGATGGATGCTTATATAACTGACATTTCCAGCATTTATGGCCATAGACTAAAATGCCAGGCGCATAATTTCAAGTAAAATGGCAGACCCAACTCAATAATATTTAATGATGTAGTAGACCTTGGCTAGGAGAATAGCTAACGGAAGTCATTGCGCTGCATTTATTGAATTGCTAAAATGAGTTGAATAATAATTGTGTTTTGCAAGAGTTTTGTTTTAGAAATTTATCTCTGTGATCTGGTACTCCAAAAATAAATTATTTATCATTCTAGTCAACACAAAATATAGGAAAGACTTTGAACTAGTTAACTGATGGCAAGATTTTTTACGCTGACTTTGTCCTGTGTTTATAGCACAGAAATATATTCAGTAGCTCAGGTTATGGCTTGGAATATTGGGTGAGATTGATTTGAAAAGCTAAAATTACCTTCCAGAAGGTAAGAAAGACAAAATTACCTTCCAGAAGAATCTCCTTTTAGAGTTTGATTGTTTGCAAAGTTGGACCTTTTTGCCTATCATCATATGTCTAAGAATGTCCAGATTTAGATTCTTTGGAGCATGTTACACTACAGAGATACCTATGCCAGGATTATGATATCACTGTCAGCAAACAGAATATTAACTTCATCAGTGCCATTCTGCTAATATTTTAGCCTAGAATAAGCAGAAAGGACTTGAACTGATGGAGAACATCAAATTGCTAGAGGTCTGTAGGTGTCTTGTTACCAGGTCTGCAGCCACAGAGTCTCCCAGGGCTCTCCCTCAGACAGTGTTTCTCCCTGTGGAAGGTACAGAACAAAGCTGACTGGAAGTGTGCACAACCTACCATGTGTAGGCTTGTTGGATGTCCATTGGAAAGCAAATGCAGATGATTGTGCAGGCCTTCCAAAAGTTTACAAATTAAAAGTAGCCAGCAAAGGCATTCAGGTTCAACAGCAACAAAAAAAAAACCTCAAATTTTTACTTTTTGAGACATGATCTTTAAAGCATTTTATCTCTTAAAAAATGCAGATATCTTGATCTGACTATTCTGAGTGTTCTACCTATAAAAAAAGGGAAAATTTGAGATTGGAAAGAAAAAAAATATTAATTTTTCAAATGCCAAGATAGAGTCTGACATTTTTCAGGTCAAACCAAAACCAGATATACCTGGTAAATAAACAGAACACTGACTTGTTGTATATACCTCTATGATTATGGATGAGCTTCTTTTAGTTGTATATGGAAGAGTCAAGTAGTTGCACATCTTTAGCCTTAGTACTTAGGAGGCACAGCAATTAAG